CCAACACAAACCTCAAACATGTTATACATAACTCATGTCATAACAAACTCAATTTTCACATAGACATTAGAAAAATACCTTAAAGGCATAATTCATGTTATCACACAAGATTTTCCTATATCAAACTTTACTAGAAATTGGTCTAAGCCATTTTCATAACCATTTCCTCATTTCCATAACCATAATCAAGTGACCTAGGTTATTCTATACACTTATCCATTCCATAGAGCATTCTAGGTAAGAAATAAACCAAGGTAGGAGGAAACCCTATCTCTTGAAGCGTGATACGAAAGGTAGAAAGCCTCAAGAACACTTCCCAAGCCCAAGACCCTTGATTTTCTCAAATTTTCTCTTTAGATCTTCAATGAAATCCTTTGTTTTTTATACGTAGACGTAGCCCTCGTCGCGTAGACGAACTTTAATTCTTGGCTCGATGAATTCCGACCGACAGAACTCCTTAGATCGCAAGGAGAAAGGTAGAAATCTTGTATTTCCTCTTCTCTTCTCTTCCAACGTGTGAGACCAACTGATCAAGTGGGAAAATATCAGATATTTCCCTCTATTTATAGCGCCTTTAATTGCGCGGTCCACATCGCACCACACATTTCCTACTTCCGGGTCTGTTTTTGTCCTGAAACGACTTAATTTTATCCCAGTTTAAATTTAAATTATTTTTATTTAAACTTTCCTTCAATTATAAAAAAAATTTATAATTTTTATTTTTTGGGGACGTTTGTGAGGTCATCCGACCCCTAGTTGTCTCGAAAAATATAAAAATTCGACTATCTTGAAATTTGATGAAAATTGACAAGGTAGCTCGATTTCGCAATATGAATCCGATGGTGAGGTTCGTTGCATCATTCGAGTTATAAAAAAAATATGGATTTAATTCTGCAATATAGTGATAAATTACCAATTTTTCCTTTTTCGAAAGAAATTCAAATTTACCCAAGTTTTACAATTCCGACCATTACAATAGTCACCCAGGGCATCAATTTTCACATGTTTATGTAAAACCTTATATAAAATCCTAAAATATAACAAAACCTTCTAAAAAAAATCTAAAAATAACAATTTCTAGTTTTTAAATAGTAATCTCTTTCAAATTCTTTTCACTATTTTTTTCTCTACTCTTACTGCATCTCTCCAACTTTTTCTCTCCCTCCCACTATCATTGTCTTGCTCTGATTTTTTGTCCTTATCTTTTACTCTTTTGCTGTTTTTTTAAAACTTCATTTAATTTATTAGTCTGTAAAATTCTGACTTCACAATTGCACCAAATTTATTATCTGATTCAATCCGATCCCAAAACTAATAATACATTGAAAATAATTTATACCACAACTCTTTGTAAAAAATCTAATAATCGTTAAAAAAAAATTATTTATCTTCTTAAAATATTAAATAAACTCTCGTGTGAAATTCTAGATTTAGGCCCTAATTTGTGTTGGATCGCCCTTGAAAGTGACCAAAAGGTATGAAGTGCGTTCAGAAGTTAGGAGAGACATACCTAAAACATCAATGAAGCTCTATTTATCAAATAACTTAATTTAACACTCATTTATATACAATTATATTATCTATTGAAATAACACTAACAAACTAAATAAGAGTTTAAATTGTAATAGACATAATATCTTTTATTTTTAATTGAGATAATTTGGTCGGTTAATAGATACCATTAGTTTCGTAACTATGATATTTTAAACTTAAGAGGTCTAAATATTATACGTCTATAAACTTCAGAAAGTCTAGGTGTAATTTATTAATAGGATAACATAAGTTTAAGTGTTACATGTATACAAACCTCGGAGTCTGTATGTAATATTTCAAATATCAAGTGTCAAAGTGATTAAATACAAATCTCTGAAGATTTAGTGTAATTTTTCCAAAAAAAAAAAGGGTAAATAACATAAATGCCCAATCTAATTGTACCATTTTACCATTATTACTCTTACATCTCCACCAATTGGCCCGTCTATTTTTAACGTTTAGGCTAATGGCATCAGCCAACCTGCTAAGGCTTTGACGGCATAATGGAAATTGTCCTCATTCCTTCCTTGTTTTGAAGCCAAAGCCCCCTCCCCCCTCTTTGTTGCAACTTAGAAATTAGAGTTCATACCCTCAAATTTATACTGTCCCCAAATTCATTCCGGATTCACACTATCCCATATATTTCAAAGACAATTAAGGAGAAAGCATAGTTACAGTTTGTAGAAAAGGATTTGTGTTCATCAATCACACATGACTTGATCAATATGGGTGGTGGATGATGCTTTGCTTTGCATCTAGATTAAATGCATGGTAAGTGTGATTTTTCAAAATCATTTGTATGTGTGAAGATCTAAAAATATGATTTGTTATACAATTATTTTGGGTTCGAAAACCGTAGATGATATTTGGTATTGGGGCTAGCATGTGCCCCTTTTTTTTTTTTTTTTTTTTTTTTGGGGGGGGGGGGTTTAAATAATCTACAATTTTTGTTTGATTTTTGCTATCTTGACTCTTGTTTCGAACTGATTTAGTTTGTTTTATTTATCCTATTCCTTAATCTAAGTGGGAGATAAAATATTTTCTTGTATTTGATTATTGTACAGGAAAATATTACAATTGCTTTTAATATGCATATCATTATCTTTCTAGTATTTTAACATTGGTTATACAAGTTGAATTTCCACTTTGATGATTATGGTATATAGTATACAGTATACTGGATATGAGTGAAGGTGTTTTCTAATTTTTTTTGCACGTGTCAACTAATCACTATAGAGTTTTAGAGATGGATCTCACAAAAGTATTACGGGATTTAAAGTGTGATTATGATGTATCAACAATTTTACTGGATGTTTATTGATTGCTTAGGCTCAAGTTTATCAACTGGGCAAATTTATCCAAAAATAAAAAAAAATTCTCAAAAATTAAAATTTATTAAACAAAATAGAAATTATATATCCTAACATTAGACAACATTAAGATTAGGTCGTGAGAAATGCTCTAGGGGTTGGGTTTGAATTAGTTGTATCAAGTCTATATAAGACTAGGCGATGCCAGAAGCAACATAGGGTGCCTCATTACTCAAACATAATAATAAATTTTGTATTTTGTGCTCTCAAGGTTTTAATATATGTCATGTTTATTCGATTGAAAATGATAATTTGAATTGAATAGTAAAATTGAAGTCATGTGTCTCATGTGATCATACTTGGGGAATTAATTTAATCATTAAAATTTTAATTTAGATTACCTTAATTATTATTCTTTCAATTTTATGATTTTAATTTAAATTTTTGAGAAAGGTATACGAACTCTTCAACGTCTTCTTGATTTTTTTTTCCCTTAATGACCAATCTGCGCCACACAACAGAAAATCAAACATACAATTTTACATCCACTCGATATTCCACGTGGAGATCTAAATAGATGGACATGACACGTGGACCAATAATAAAACAGAATCTTATGTCCTTAGCCAACAACCATTAACATTTGGATTGCCTATATCCTTCCCGTCCATATACTTCACCCCGCGCTCCCGTCACTCCACCCTTCCCATATCTCTCTCCCTCTCTCTCATCACTCCGCCATTCGCAGAAACAACTTTGAGAATGGCCTCAAATGCATTGATGAGCTGCGGCGTCGCGGCAGTTTGCCCCTCAGTGCTCTCTTCTTCTAAGTCAAAATTTGCCGCTGCCGTGCCCGTGGCTGGTGTTGGTACTAATGCTGCGGCCGGTTTCACAATGTCGGCCGACTGGATGCCCGGTCAGCCCCGGCCAACCTACCTTGATGGCTCAGCACCTGGGTAATAATATAATGTTATGGATCCAATTATAGTAACCAAAAATCTTATACCTCATTTTTTCACATCCAATGAAACTATGCTACACGGAATTTTTTTTTATTTTTGGAAGAATTATATCTACACCCCTGAAGTTTGTCATTTAATCACTCAAATTTCCTGACATTTGAAATATTACACATAGATCTTTTAATGTTTGTATGCGCATGACACTTAGACCCTTGTTGTAAATATATCTATTAATAAATTATACTTAGACCCTCTAAAATTTGTGGGTATATAATACTTAAACTCTTTAAGTGTAAAATATTATACTTAGACCAAAACTATTCTAATCAAATATAAAATATTTTAAATTTTATAAGTAAAATTTATGTTCTATTGTATCATTTATTGAAATAAAATTAAAATTAAAAATTCAATTTTTTTTAAAAAAATTATAATTATTATACAATTATATTGTCTATTATAATTTAATTTAGTTATTTAAACGACCAAATTAAAATATCAAACTACCCCAATCAAATCTAAAAGATACTGTGTCAATTACAAATTGATTCCTTGTTTAATTTTTTAGTTTTGTTCTAATAGACAATATAAATATATAGTAACTATATATTTTTTNAATAATTAAATTACACCGTCTCTAACAATTTAAACTTTTGGAGCAAACTGTTGTTTAACAATGTGCAACTGTCTGCGAACAATCACCAATTTCGTGTCAAAAACAATCCCATAAAAAGATCTCCTCTAAGTAGAAATTGCAATTTCCTGTAACTATGGGTTACAAACATTTTTCCTACATAGTGCAATCAAGTGACAATTTTTTAACGAGACACATAAACTAGGTTTGCATAGCATAGGGTTGTGTTATTTTAGATTCATATCGAATATAATAAACTTTAACTTTCTTATTTAACTGATTAAATGTCGCAATATTAATTTAATTTAATTTATTTAGTAATCATGTCATTTTTGAGACTGCAACACAACTCCTATGAAGCACAAACGTAGGACTATTAGTCCATTCTCCGCCAATTAAACCCACCACCCATTAGTAATCTATTAACTAGAAGTCTATTCGGTCCAAATGATAAGAAATCCAAATTAAAACTTTTCTAAACTATTCATACACTACTAAATCAAGAGATAAATTAACAAATGTTAAAAATAAAAACTCTATATTTTTTCAGACACGTCACTTAATCGTGTTTGTTGTGCGAGTAATTCACATTTAATACTATCTTTATTTGTATATTATTTATGTTAAGGATAATGTCATTTTTTGTTAAATATGTAACGAACCTTAATAATTAGGACAATGTGAAATTAACCATGTAGTTGCGAGTGTAATATAAAAAATATGATAGTTTTGAGGGAATAATAGGAAAAAGTTCGTAGTTGAGGGGATCAAAGTGTAATTTTTCCTTCTTAATATATGAGCAGTGGGTTTTCAGCCAGGAATTTTAGTACCAGAGGCATTGGGGTTGGGCAACTGGGTAAAGGCACAAGAGTGGGCAGCTGTACCTGGGGGACAAGCCACCAACCTGGGGAACCCTGTCCCTTGGGGCACCCTTCCCACCATTTTGGTCATTGAATTCCTTGCCATTGCCTTCGTCGAGCACCAAAGAAGCATGGAGAAAGACCCCGAGAAGAAGTACCCCGGTGGAGCTTTCGACCCATTGGGTTTCTCCAAGGACCCGGTTAAGTTTGAAGAGTACAAAGTCAAGGAGATCAAAAATGGTAAACAATCTCTCTCTCTCTCTCTCTCTCTCTCATGGATTTCAATCTCCATTCATCATAATGCTTCCAAATTAATTTTATCTTAAGAAATAGTGCTTATTGTATTTTACTTTACACACTCAAAAATTAAATTTATATTATACTCTCAATATATCAAAAGTATTATAATGTATCTCTTCTATTAACTTCTGTTATTTTTTTTGTCAAAACCAACCTATTGATATTGAGAGAAAAATTAACAGAAATGTAATAGAATGTCATATTACAATATTTTTGATATATTAAAAATGTAATATAAAAAATTAAAAATAATTGAGAGTATAAAATAAAAATTTTAAAATATTTCAGAATGTTTAAGTACAATTCGCTCTAAGAATTAATAAGAAGTTTGGTATGGTTCGAAAAAATTACGCCTTAATAGGGTTAGTTATAACTTATCCGAGGTCAAGTAAAAACTCAAAAAAGTTGATCATAGCTCAACTAAAGTCGAGTCACAACTCAAAAACATTTGGGTGAAAGTACAATTCAATTAGAGTAAAGTTAAATCTCAAATGATTTGAGATCGATCCTAAATATTATGATTGACCTTGGGACTAATCTCAATGAACCCGATTGAGTTATAATTTTATCGGAATAGTAATCTCATCCAATTGAAACGTGACTTTCCACACGGTAATGAAAGTGAAAGCGAGTCTTTGTAGTTTTTCCATTCGTCTGATCAGATATATATATGTGGTTGTATATGCATTGGATGTTCAGGTCGTCTTGCCTTGTTGGCTTTTGTGGGATTCTGTGTTCAACAGTCAGCTTATCCGGGAACAGGACCGCTGGAGAACTTGGCAACTCACTTAGCTGATCCATGGCACAACGACATTGGAGACATCATTATCCCTAGAAGAGTTTTGCCATGATAATCCACTTCCAATCACAAACCATTTTCGTAAAACTCAATGCATCAGTATCTATATAATAAAATAAGAGTGTGTTTAAATTTTATGTCACTCATATTTTTTCCTTTAAAATCATCACCAATCATTTACCTCACCCATTATTCCTTTGTCAGACTCAAACGTCAAATTACATCACTAATTTCTATCACATATTTAATCATTTATATATTTTCTCCCTAAAAATATCACACAATTTATTTCTATTATATATTTAATCATTTAATATTTAATTAATTTGTAGTTAATATATTTTAAAAAAATTTAATATAGTAATATCGATTTTTTGGACGCTCGAATTTTATATTTTATCGTGTCATCATACACGGGTTATGACTAGTTATACTATACGAAACAGCAAACCTGTGCATCTTTGACCGTATGTTTCCAAGGCTTCATTTATTGGTTAACTATCATTTACCTGTAGTAACATTTTTAATTTGTACTTAACTATATGATATAATTTGATTGATCAAATACGTTATTATCATTAAATTAGTAGTGGATTTTAATATTGGATGAGGTATACTGCTAAATTTAGCGAAATAATCCTATTGACTAGGGGTGTTCAAATTTTCGATTGATCACAATTTTCTACCCTACCTTACCCTACCCTATTGAACGGTTAACCGTAAAAATTGGGTAGAAATGCGAAAGAATTTTTGGTCTTTCGATTAAATCAGGTAGGAATGCGGAATACCCATCAATTTTCGCATTCCTACCATACTTTACCTTCAAAAAATATATTTAATTTTTTTATATTTTTTTTAGTAATTATAAGAGTATTTGTGTGATATAATTTATATTATAACATTGTTATTGTTGTGGATGTTTGAGTTGCGAAAATATGAACTTATTTTTTGTGTAGGTTATATAATTTATGGTGAACTAGTGAACTATTGGAGCAATTATGATTTTAATGTGTTTCATATGATTTAAACTTAAAATAATTTTTTGTATTTGTGTAATAATTATGATGGATTAATGTTCATGTTTTTTTATATTTTATTGTAATTGTTCTTGTAGTTGTTTTATGTTTTAGTGTTATTTATTTATTGTGTTGTTAAATTGGTGCATGTTATTTAATTGAATTGTTACAATGATCCAAAAATTAATAGCTACAGAAGTATTTACCCGACTTCCTACCCAATTATTCGAGCATGAAGTCGAGTAGGAATACCACACCTGATCGGGTAGGGTAAGACAAGAAAAAATTCTTCCATAAAGTATCGGGTAAGAAGACAGAAGACAATATTTCCTACCCGTATGGTAAGGTGAACACCACTACTATTGACCCTTATTCGAGTTGCTGGGGACAAAACTTGACTCAACCAAGGACTTGGATTTCAGATTCACGGTAATATTAGTTGAAACTAGTTTACCAACTTAATTTATTGATTTTATGGATTATGATCATTTCGTTGATAGAGAAACCGAATTGTTATCGGGACTGATTCCTAATCTCATGGCAACAATGAATTAGATTAGTAAAACGGATTTAAAGGTTAGGTTAATGTAGGTTGGGGGGGAGGGGTTTAAAGAGGTCGTCACACTTGTTTACACCAAGAATAATTGAAGGGGATGAGTAGGATAAGAGGATGAGATGAAAGGAACTCGAGTAGTCTATTAACGAAGGGATGTACCAATTGGGCAGAGGGTAGGTGAAATTCTCTCACAAGCCATGAATTTTTATTCTCTGCAATAAGCAAGTAATATGGGTATTTATAGCACAATGGCCGGATAGGTTTAGTTGCCTGCCATGACCCCCAACCACTTGTGCCAACTTACAATTGCCTCGACCGCCTTAACCTTGGTAATGTTAGTGGTTGTTAATCGCGAGTCACGTGTTCTAACATTAATTAGGCATAAATGACGGTTTTCCTAAGTGCAGCTTGAATGTGGTTTTGAGGAGGATGCAACAGCTGAGGTGAAAAATGGCTCCCAAGGTTCATGACCATGATTGGTCATCGCGGGACCATGACTTTGAGAGGGCCATGTCTGTGATGCCCCCATCACGCTCTTACTCAGGGTTTTCATTTCTTTCTCTCGACCTTTCTTTGAGACGTTTGTCGAGGTGTCCGAGAGAGGAAACCCATACAATTTCGGTCCTTTAGCCACCAATCTATATGTTCCATTATCTCATATGTTGATCTGAATCAATAACTCCACTTACCTTAAAAATCCTTCTGGATCCTAGTCAAGCATATTCTAATGGACGGTGAGTTATACACTGGGAGCTTTGTTAGAACAAACTAAACCTTTAAGACCTTATCTCAGGTTGAGGTTGACAATCATGTTTGTCCACCCCCGTTGCTCAGTTCCCCTTTGAGGAAGGTCATATTGATGTCCCTAGGTGGGGACCCTTCATCTTAGTCTAGTGGGCCACTCGAGCAATGGNATTAATAAGAAGTTTGGTATGGTTCGAAAAAATTACGCCTTAATAGGGTTAGTTATAACTTATCCGAGGTCAAGTAAAAACTCAAAAAAGTTGATCATAGCTCAACTAAAGTCGAGTCACAACTCAAAAACATTTGGGTGAAAGTACAATTCAATTAGAGTAAAGTTAAATCTCAAATGATTTGAGATCGATCCTAAATATTATGATTGACCTTGGGACTAATCTCAATGAACCCGATTGAGTTATAATTTTATCGGAATAGTAATCTCATCCAATTGAAACGTGACTTTCCACACGGTAATGAAAGTGAAAGCGAGTCTTTGTAGTTTTTCCATTCGTCTGATCAGATATATATATGTGGTTGTATATGCATTGGATGTTCAGGTCGTCTTGCCTTGTTGGCTTTTGTGGGATTCTGTGTTCAACAGTCAGCTTATCCGGGAACAGGACCGCTGGAGAACTTGGCAACTCACTTAGCTGATCCATGGCACAACGACATTGGAGACATCATTATCCCTAGAAGAGTTTTGCCATGATAATCCACTTCCAATCACAAACCATTTTCGTAAAACTCAATGCATCAGTATCTATATAATAAAATAAGAGTGTGTTTAAATTTTATGTCACTCATATTTTTTCCTTTAAAATCATCACCAATCATTTACCTCACCCATTATTCCTTTGTCAGACTCAAACGTCAAATTACATCACTAATTTCTATCACATATTTAATCATTTATATATTTTCTCCCTAAAAATATCACACAATTTATTTCTATTATATATTTAATCATTTAATATTTAATTAATTTGTAGTTAATATATTTTAAAAAAATTTAATATAGTAATATCGATTTTTTGGACGCTCGAATTTTATATTTTATCGTGTCATCATACACGGGTTATGACTAGTTATACTATACGAAACAGCAAACCTGTGCATCTTTGACCGTATGTTTCCAAGGCTTCATTTATTGGTTAACTATCATTTACCTGTAGTAACATTTTTAATTTGTACTTAACTATATGATATAATTTGATTGATCAAATACGTTATTATCATTAAATTAGTAGTGGATTTTAATATTGGATGAGGTATACTGCTAAATTTAGCGAAATAATCCTATTGACTAGGGGTGTTCAAATTTTCGATTGATCACAATTTTCTACCCTACCTTACCCTACCCTATTGAACGGTTAACCGTAAAAATTGGGTAGAAATGCGAAAGAATTTTTGGTCTTTCGATTAAATCAGGTAGGAATGCGGAATACCCATCAATTTTCGCATTCCTACCATACTTTACCTTCAAAAAATATATTTAATTTTTTTATATTTTTTTTAGTAATTATAAGAGTATTTGTGTGATATAATTTATATTATAACATTGTTATTGTTGTGGATGTTTGAGTTGCGAAAATATGAACTTATTTTTTGTGTAGGTTATATAATTTATGGTGAACTAGTGAACTATTGGAGCAATTATGATTTTAATGTGTTTCATATGATTTAAACTTAAAATAATTTTTTGTATTTGTGTAATAATTATGATGGATTAATGTTCATGTTTTTTTATATTTTATTGTAATTGTTCTTGTAGTTGTTTTATGTTTTAGTGTTATTTATTTATTGTGTTGTTAAATTGGTGCATGTTATTTAATTGAATTGTTACAATGATCCAAAAATTAATAGCTACAGAAGTATTTACCCGACTTCCTACCCAATTATTCGAGCATGAAGTCGAGTAGGAATACCACACCTGATCGGGTAGGGTAAGACAAGAAAAAATTCTTCCATAAAGTATCGGGTAAGAAGACAGAAGACAATATTTCCTACCCGTATGGTAAGGTGAACACCACTACTATTGACCCTTATTCGAGTTGCTGGGGACAAAACTTGACTCAACCAAGGACTTGGATTTCAGATTCACGGTAATATTAGTTGAAACTAGTTTACCAACTTAATTTATTGATTTTATGGATTATGATCATTTCGTTGATAGATCCAAGGCTTTGAGATCGGCCACAAACAAATCCACACCAGAGAGTTCTGTCAAAGATGTCATGTTCTGATATAAATATAAGCTACAGAAGAAGATCAATAACAGTGACACAATTTGGAAGGAATGGAACAACACAGGCATAAACACGTATCCATTCAAGTATCATCTAACATACCTAGGTTTGAACATTGACAAGGCAGTTGTTCTGCCATAAGATACAACAAGTCTAATGATAAAGCTCTGAGATTACACAATACATTGCCCTCATCCCCAATTCATTTAACCTATAGAGCTAAATTTCCCAGTCAAGCAGTAATTCCTTATTCTTTAGCCAACTGATGATTCTGTTGGCTGATTCTTCCATAATGAAACATAAAAATTCCAAATACCTTTTATCACGTTCACCTAGTTTTCACTCGATTGTTCCACTACGCTACCACCGCTGCGCTACTCTGATAAAATATTAATCATATTGGTGTGACCCCAAACCAAATAATCCATGTACAAATCATCCCTGAAAGTCATCTTCAAGCACTGATAGTGCCTTTTTGTTTATGTTTTTTTTTTTTTAATGTTTTCCTTTAAGCTGCAAGCTTTCTAGCGCTTCAATCTTTATCCACCAACAGTTAGACCAAGAATTGTTCTATGAACAGAGCAGCAAGTCGAAAGTACATTTCTTTACATTTTCTTCACTTTCACTTACAGTTGTTACATCCAAAAAAAAAAAATTTGTATTTTCTCAATTCGATATTGTTACATACCTTATCTTTCAAACTCTCTGAACAATATTCATTCTACTGAAGCACACACATACAGAGGGAGAGAGAGGAAATTCAACCTGGATAGTAAGGTTGAGGCCAAGAGGGAAGCTGAAAATCAGTCGAACGAGTGTCTTCGAGATTTCGAAGCCAAATGATATCATCCAGGGCTTTGGATAGCTGAGGAATGCGAAGAACTTCACTGGCCAATTCAACACCTTTACCGATGCCTTTCTTTATAAATTCGACGTCCTTGCGAACCACTTGCGCAAAATGCCCAAAGTTTCCAACCACACGACCTTGTTTTTGTGGATTGTTGTCATTACTGCTATGCTTTCCAGTTGTTGAACGCGATCGAGTAGAACAGTGAACGGAGATCGCCATTGAAGGTGATGCTGCCACTGCGAAGGCCATCGGAGCCTCGACGGAGCTCCGACACCGGTAATAACGTTCAAATTTTGGTGACTTGCATTGATTGTGTGGGTGAAAGGTGAGGAGTGTATGGTTTTCCTTCCCCTCGTTACAGGTGGTAGGTATTTGTGGCTGCAGTTAATGAGCAGTATTGAAAGAGNGGTGAGGAGTGTATGGTTTTCCTTCCCCTCGTTACAGGTGGTAGGTATTTGTGGCTGCAGTTAATGAGCAGTATTGAAAGAGTGTGGTGATTAGGCGGCAGGAGGAACACGTGACGCAATTGTAAAATGGGAAAATTACACCAGACCTTCTGACATTTGTCGGTTAATCACCTAAACTTCTTATATTTTTAAAATATTATATGCAGACACTTTAAAATTAATACGGACATAATAGATAGGCAAATGTCATTAATGTTCATTATTAAATTATTTTTAAATTTCTGAAATTTAAAATATGTAATAATTACATCAATTAAATTTAAAATATTATATTTAGATCAAAAATACTATAATTAAAAATAAAATATCAAATTTTTTAAATTTTATAACTAAAATTTATGTTCTATTATGTCATTTATTAAAAAAATAAAAAATAAAAATCTAATTTTTTTCTTTAAAAAACTATAATTCGTATTATTGATACCAAATTTTGGATTACTTTGTTAAGTTTTGATTNACCATAAAAATAGTCGCCCAGGCCCCCAATTTAATTTGTACCCTCAGTTCACCTTCATGCTCTAAGATCCCGTTTGAATACCCAATTTATTTCATAAGTCTATCTAAAATTTTATAGAAAGTTTTAAAATACAATAATTTTTTCATAAGTCTATGTAAAGCATTATATAAAGTCCTAAAATACAATAAAATCTTCTAAAAAGATCTCTAGCTTTAAAAATAGCTATTTCTAGCTTTAAAAATAGTCATTTCTCTCAAATTCTTTCCACTGTTTTTTTCTCCACTCTCATTGCCTCCCTCCAACTTTTTCTCTCCCTTTCCACTCTCATTATCTTACTCTGGTTCTTTTCTTTATCTCTAGCTCTCTTGTTGTTGTTTTAATACTTCATTCAATTTATTCATATATAAAATCCTGATATCACAATTACATCCAATTTATTGTCTAATCTCGCATCGATCCCAAAACTACTAAAGTATTGAAAATAAATCATACTGCAACTCTATGTAAAATGTCGAATAATCGTTAAAAAAATTATTATCTTCCTAAAATATTAAATGAGGTCTTGCTTTAGGCCTCGATATGTATTGGGCCACCTTTAATCCTGAAGAATAGTGAACATACTCATTTCTTAAATGAGGACGCATATTTTAGGTTATGGATTTAAAGTCACAAATATATGTTGTAAGTTGAAATTGAGATTTTTATAGCAACTTATCAATTGCATTATCTTTTGTCAAATAAAACAATGGAAACTTTTGACAAAACTTTTGATTGGTTGAGAATAAAGATTTGTGTTGTAGTACGTGTTCTTATACGTCAGTGCCAAAAATTTAATATATAGTGCGTTGAGAATTGATGTGACTGACTTTCAAACTGACATGTTGAAACAATTGGAGTCTTTAAAAGACTTGGTGTAGAAAGAAAATTTGAATTGAGTGAACGAATACAAGTCTATTAAGAAATCAATATTGAAAGGGGTAAGAAAATGTGTGTATGCCCCCAACAATGGATGGCTTGACACATATTGAAATGCTTGAGGAATGATTGTAGCGATAAGTGAAAAGTTGATATTTGAAAAGTTCATGCTACTACAAAAAAACTCGTGAAACAGGTTGAAGACCTAAAGCTCTCTAGGAAGGGAGAATCCTGTCGTTATGATTTGTTTTTTTTTAGAATTTAAGATCTTACTCTTAAAACTCCAATTGCTATGGTTGTTTTATTTTTTTGTAACTTAGGATGTTACTATTACACTCTCACTCTTAGAGTTATGACTGATTTCTTTTGGAATGAATTTAAGAAAATCTGAAAATATATTTGTTATGACTAATTTCTTTTCGAACGAGTTTAAAATGATTTTGCCGTATAAAAATATATTTGTTATGATTGGTTTATTTTAGAATGAGTTTAAGAAGATCTTGTTGTATGAAAATATATTTATGTGTAACTATAAATTGAATACATTGTAAAGTACGATATTGAGAAATGGTCAACATAAGATGTTCATCTCGGGACTTATTTTGTTTAGTCTTATTTTTATAGTTTTCTTCCATCTGGACAACTATAAAATATGTTATCCGCACAGTCATATAGACACAAAGTGAACCGATGTAGCACAAAATCATTTTGGCCTGGGTATTCAATTGCCAAAAAANACAAAATATGTTATCCGCGCAGTCATATAGACACAAAGTGAACCGATGTAGCACAAAATCATTTTGGCTTGGGTATTCAATTGCCAAAAAACAAAAGAAACAGGACAATTTCATGAGCTATCAACAAATCTGGCATTACTATTTACGTAGGTCGTTCTTTTTGCTGGATAAAACGAGGGGAACACAATATTTGTGTATATTGTGAATTTTATGACCGATGATAACAAGACATTTGAGGACTATCTCAATGTTTTTGGGTGTTTAAACAATCTTCAGTTATCATAAATTTCTCTACCAAAATTTATATCTTCTTATCCCTAAACGCCCAACTTTTGTGGATAACAAAGGAGAAACAATAAGATGTATGTTATCAATATGAATTGTAGACTCATAACTGATTAAGAAAAATGTCTTTAGGCTTATATTAATTAAAATAACACGATTACATAACATAAACAATAAATAAGTCAATTTAGCTTCCTCTACTGGTAATCATATTTTAATACCATATGTAGTATTTAATTGGTATTATATTAAGAAGATATCTAGTAATTTTATTTCTTGATCTTGTATTATATAAGAATTATTTTAGAATTTAAATATTGTTAATTCAATTTAGTAAAATGTGAATCATTTATGTTTTTAATTTATGGGGAACAATGGTTCATGTATTTAGTTGGAAAAAATGAAAATCTAGTCCTATGGTTTTTCAACAAGAGTGACATGAAATGAAGATAATACGAACTTGAAACGACAAGATTTGAACATGATATAACATGACCCAATTGACATCCAGAATAAAAGGTATTAAGATTCTTTATGTATTTTTCTTCAATAGTAGATCACACACAATCTATATGATAAAATACATAGGAGTTTGAAAATTTATCCCCTATACATTTTTCCCCTAAAAATATCACATCATCCAATTCTATCACATGTTTAATCATTTAACATTTAATTAATTTGTAATTTAACACAATTTTTATTTTATACATTGTTCATACATGATAGTATACATGTGTTGAAAATATTTTGTCGAGTTATACATTTTGAGAAAATTTTGACTTTATTTTAAAAAAAATAATAGGTAAAAATTAATTTTAAATGATGTAATGAAAGAAACAAAGAAATAAAAATTAGTTATTTGGTATAGTGTGATCAATTTTTAAAATATTCGAATTCTATATTTCATTGTGTTTTCAGGCAGAAGTTATAACTAGTGTATTAATAAGGGACTCATTTATATAAAGCAGGTCCCATTTCTACTTAAATTTATGATAAGTGATCTATTATTGATAGAAATTGAGGGGAAAAAAAAGTTAATAGACAAGATCCAAATTGATTAAAATGGGAATCCCAATCCTACGGCCTACAACCAACCACCTCTCTTAAGCATGTTATCAACACATCACATGGGGACAAATCCTTTTTTGTATGACAAGCCACTTTAGATTTGATTCAAATTTTTGTTCATGAACTAGTAAGGTTAGCCAAATTTTATTTTAATATTAAATGAGCCAGAAAATTGTCCTTTAGTCCACCTTTCTAGAATACCTTTTTTATATTCTAACGGTTAAGAGTGTTCGGGTCAACTTACATATATTTCGATTAATCCCCTTCTCAGTCTAGTCAAAGACAAACTATCTACGCCGTAACTAAAGTATTGATGAGAGATAAATCTCTTGTTAAAATATTTTAACTAAAAGAGTATTTTTTATGTGGGAACTCAATCCCACATCGACTGAACATCCCAAGATACTTGAGTATATATATGTACTAGTATTATCTAACATTTGAATCAAAGAGAGGTCTTNGTATTAATAAGGGACTCATTTATATAAAGCAGGTCCCATTTCTACTTAAATTTATGATAAGTGATCTATTATTGATAGAAATTGAGGGGAAAAAAAAGTTAATAGACAAGATCCAAATTGATTAAAATGGGAATCCCAATCCTACGGCCTACAACCAACCACCTCTCTTAAGCATGTTATCAACACATCACATGGGGACAAATCCTTTTTTGTATGACAAGCCACTTTAGATTTGATTCAAATTTTTGTTCATGAACTAGTAAGGTTAGCCAAATTTTATTTTAATATTAAATGAGCCAGAAAATTGTCCTTTAGTCCACCTTTCTAGAATACCTTTTTTATATTCTAACGGTTAAGAGTGTTCGGGTCAACTTACATATATTTCGATTAATCCCCTTCTCAGTCTAGTCAAAGACAAACTATCTACGCCGTAACTAAAGTATTGATGAGAGATAAATCTCTTGTTAAAATATTTTAACTAAAAGAGTATTTTTTATGTGGGAACTCAATCCCACATCGACTGAACATCCCAAGATACTTGAGTATATATATGTACTAGTATTATCTAACATTTGAATCAAAGAGAGGTCTTAGGACTCTCACGTGCGCAAGGATGGGATTGGCAGAGGAGATACAGATTTTTAAAATCTACAAGCTACACTGGGGTGCCTAGTCCACGACCTGTGTAGTGAGTCCCCCTGGCTCGCCAAAATAAAATATTAACTAGTATTAAACCCACTTTTAATATTTTGTTTAATTATTTTCTGTCATTACTTCTATAATAAAATTTCAGTTGCTGAATACCAAAAACCTCCAACGGCTAGTATTCCAACAGTCATATTTTGAGTTATTATCC